AGACTTATTAGAGGGCCTGTAATGATGAGGAAAGGGTAAAGTTTTTAAACTACAGGAGAGTAGATTGAGACTCAGCATAAGGAAGAAATTTTTTACAGTGATGTTGGTGAAAAACTTGACAGTTTGCCAGAGAGGTGGTTGATATCCCATCCCTGGAAACATTTGAGATGATTTTGGCCGGGGTTCTGAGCAACCTGATGTAGCTGAAGGTGTCCCTGCACACCGGAGGGGCCTGGACTAGAGCTTTAAATGTTCCTTCCAACTCAGAACTGTTCTAGGATTCTATGAATGAAGCCTAAAGGAAGAAATAGAGCAAGAAATTTAAAGGACTGGACAGAAGCAAAGTTCTTTTTCAGTGGTAATGTAAAATAGTACTTTAAATCAGCTGTGAGTTTTATTTGAATGGGATTATTGAAATAATATTTAGTCTTTGATTCTTGGAAATGGGGCTCTGATAAAATTGATATTTATGTCTTTAAAACATGAAAAATATTTGAAGTGTGAATTTTAATTTTCAAAATTTAAGGAAATTGTTAGAATATAGAGAACATATAATGTTTGGTATAATGTTTGCAGCTGGCAATTCCCAGTAAATTGTCTGACCTGCTGGGCTTAGAGGTAGGAGATTTGCTATTACTTTTTTATTATTGCTATTGGTATTACTTTCTTTTAGAAATCCTTCAGGATGTCTACAGAATTGCCATGTTTTTGAAATAAAGCTGAAGGGAGATTTCAGTATGTATTCCACAGCTCTACTTTGTCAAAGTAGTCCTAACAGATGACTGTACGAGTTTGGCTTATTTAACCTCCCAAGGGAAGGCTGAGGAGGTAGGCTAGCTCTGAATGTGTCTTAGGATTGATTACTGAAAAGAAGATAAGAGAATAGGGGAAAATGTTATGTGCTTGTAGGGTATGTGGAGATAGGGAAACATTTCTGAGTCTGGAGCCATGCAGTTAAGCAGCAGTGCTCAGGGTTTAAGGTCCCCATTCCTGCCCCTCGGCTCTGGGATTCATGAGGCAGTTTAATGAGCTCACAAAGCACAGAGATAATATATGCAAGGCATCTACAGATAGGAGCAAACTGGACTAATTAGGAGCAAATTCCTGAACACTACTTTATTTTTCTCTAGTGTATTACAAGGTGGCTTTTTGCTCTGCTCAGTGACTCAGTAATATAACAATGAACACATTACTGTTGTGTTTTGTGTTTCACCGCAGTTCTGTTTCTTTGTCATACTTGCAAAATCATGTCACACAGGACATGTAATTAATAGTGCTGAGCAAGAGCTAGTGTGAGTTGTGTTCTAATAAAGGCTGTTCTCACAAAACAATATACTTAGGGCAAGGTTTGGTTATGCTTAGATGAAATTCAGTGAACTATTTTGTAGGAAAACAAAGCAAGCACAGTTCTGCTAGAGGATCACTGAGGATATGACCAAACGTGGAAATCCCATTTTAGCTGGGGTGGATCTCTGCCATCCTGGGTGCATACAGAAACCCTTTTTGGCCTCTTAGTTTATGAAACCATATTATTTTAGTTTGTTTTTACCCTGTATGGTTTTGTTCTCTATAAATTGTACATTTCTCATATAAGATTCAGTAGACTAATAATAAATTCCATGTAGTGCAGAAGGAATACAGATACTTGTTTCAGGTTAACAATTCCCTTACTTAGTTCTTAATTCTTTTATTCTGAATTACCTTTTCTTTATTGAATATGCTAGTCATCCAAGTTTTTTCATATTAATGAAGAGAACTTTCAATATTTAGATTCAAAAAACAGTTCCCTTGATGATTCGATGTGAAATTGATTGTGTCATTAGCATCTTCCTACTTCAACTTGCATAAAAAATTCTGGGTGATTTTAAGGTACAAATGAGGCTGTGTGAGTCTGTGTCTTTGGAATTAGCCTGAAAATGTGGATCTAACCCCTTTATTCACACTTAGCTTTTCATTTGTGTAAAGTTTGCAGTGGTCATCTGTATTGCTTATTGTGTATTGCTGATCTCACTGTGCTCATAGAGTAGGTGGTATTTGGAGTAAAAATGTCTCATACTGTATTTCAGACCATAAGGAATTCCATTTCTTGGTTTTGCCCTTTAAAGTCAGCTCAGTTGTGTAAGTGGGGAGAGTAGTTTCTTAGTCTTCAAAAAGTGATTACATGATGTTATTTAGATTATAAGATACTTTACTTGTGTTATATGTAAAATGTTGGTATGTGTGAAAACACATGTGGTTTGTAACTGTGGAAACAATAGTTTCAAGGTAGAATAATGAGTGAATGGAGTAGAGGCCTTGGATGCATTTGTAGGAGAGTTTTATGAGATAGGCACAGTGTGCAAGTTACATTTCATTACCTAGACAGCATGTGCCCTTCCACTCTTCAAAGCTGACACCAGATACATTTTGCTTTTTTCTGTCCTTGTACTGAGGATAAAATAAATAAAATGAATAGATCAGCCCAGTTCCACTAGTTCAGAGTAAAAATGAGAAAGGAAAAGCAACAGAAATCCTCCTGTACTTTTGAAAGTGGCTGTTTTAGATCTATAGATCTCTTAAGCATCTCCTTTATTAAATTAGAATTAATGCATGGTTAGAGGTGAGTGGAAGAAAAGACTCATGCAGGACATGTATTTTCATGTTTTAGTGGAAGTTGGGTAGAGAAAGAGCAGGTTTATGAGAATGTCAAAGACAAAAGATACCTTGTAAGAGTACTGGATTAGCTCAAGAGAGAGTGTTTTTTCTTTATCATCACTCCTTTGTGCTGCACAAAGGAAATAGAGTCTGATAGTACAGCTACTTAGATTAAATAATTTATATCTTTTGCATGGGTAAATGCTGTTTTAATCTAAAATTAATCCAGTTTCAGCCTTCAGTGTGATAGAGACACTGAGTATGTTATTAACTACTATTTTCTTTGTGTATTTTTACATGAAATACATAGCTTCCTACAAATACTAGCCTAACTGCAGGTTTTGTATGCGTGTAAAAATAAACATTCTTGTAAAGAGAGGTCTTCCCTTTTATCTTCCTATCTGCAGCCCCTTAAGTAAGCATAATTTTGTGGTTTTATCATAAACTTGTACCAAAAGTAAAATAAATACATCTAAGTAAATAAAATATATAAAGATAAAACTATACCAAAGTAAAATTTACCATTTTCACATTTTAGTGAAATACAAGATGTTGAGAATGAGCAATATTTGCCACTTCCACAAAAAATTCTGAACATTTGGTTTTTCAATAAATTGGAAAAAAGCAGGAACAGATTTGTTAGGTTCATTTGAACTGGAACCATAAATCACAAGTGCTGGTTTTTGAGATGCAGGTGAATATTCTGTTGCAAATTGGAGTTTTGGCATTGTTTCTTTTTGATTTGGGTCATTCCAATACCGTAAATCCTTATTTTTGTATGAGGTTAATGCACTCCTGAGAAATATAGTTATTCCTTAGAGCAATAGAGATGTTTTCTTTAGTATATGAAATTTGGAGGTTTTATGTAGATGCTGTGTTTAACTGCCCTTAAAAAGGATTTAAAGTAAACTTGAAGAGTCAGCAAATAGTGTAAACTTTATCTTAGAGGTTTTCTTAGAAAATTATTTTAAAGTGTGACTTTTATGTGAATGGCACCATTCACAAAAAGCATTCATCAAGCAGGAATGTGTGGCACATGCAAGCTGTAAGTGGAAAAGGATTAAGGCCTGAAGAGACAGATGCGCTCCTACAACTCATGGTTCTCTCTCTGGTTGTGAGAACATAGACCTTCAAATACACAAAGCCTCCTGCCCAGGAGTTAGAAATAAAATTTAAGGAGAAGACAGGACAGACAGCAGTGACCAGAGCAAGCCATGGCCAGACAAGTATCCTGACCAGCAATTTGCTACAAGTGACCAACTCCCTTTTTTCCTTGTATTTACATTTTGTGAATTTTTCCTCCTTGTCGTGGTTTCAGCTAGGATAGAGGAAGAGGGAGATTGAGGGAGGAGCTGCATGGAGCTTAATTTCCAGCTGGGCTTAAACCACTCCTCAAACACCATGATCCCTCTTTTGCTGACCTGTGCTCTTTCCCAAGTATCCCATGTGAAATTTTGTGCCAACCCAGAGTGCTGTTCCCCCGAATGTTGTGGTGAGTCCCATGCTCCTGTGGGCAGTGACTCCCTGTCAGGTGAGCAGGGAGCCTCTCCCTTCTCTTTAGCTGGTGTCACACTTGGACAGAATGATGCTGCAGTGGGGGATTGGACTTGCTGATGGAGTAAAGTACTGTGTGTGTATTGAGGGATGTATCTGTATCCAGCTTTCCACATCCATTACAAATTGTGCAGTTTGGTTTATCAGAAGGCTTTGTTTAAATGGTGTTTTCTTGGAAACTACCTCAGAATTGTCGCTTATCTACTAGACATTGGGATCTGCCACATCAAAGAGGTTTTGAGTAACAAAAGAGCAAAGGGATTTATGAGAAGTATTTTCCTTTGTAGGAAAACTTATTTGATCTTTCAGGAAGAAAAAAATGTTAACTTCTCATTTTGATTTTTCTGTAAATCCATCTTTATTGTCATGATGTTACTCTGACAGGTCAAAGCTCAGCTCAAAGTAAAGAATGTTAGAACTCCCACTTAAGGTGTGTGTAAGGTGATTGTCCAGTGGAAGCCTTTGTAGAACACCCTTCATTATTTATAAGTATTTCTTCATGGGATGGCAGGGAGATTACTATGATATGTTGATTACATGGGTTCTTATGCAAAGCATTGAAGTTGAAGTCTGATAGCTGTATAACTAAAAGACAATTAGGAAATTATATGTTGGAAGAAGCACCATCCCTAACTTACAGTTTGCCTTGTTTCATACCCGCTTAAGTCATCTATTCTTCAGGGCTGCTTGCCAGTCAAAACCAATGAAAACTAAGTAGTCATTCCAGAATATGTTTTTGAAGATTAATGGATGTTTAGGAAGAAAGTACATATAATTCAGGTTTAATGGAAATATTCTTATTTTTCTTAAAGGAATTGCCTACAGTTCTGCTTATTCATGAGATCAACAGGCATGAAGGTGCATGGACAATATTGCCATTAATGACAGAGTAAGTGTAATGAATGTCAGTTATTTTCAGTAGTTTTTGTAACCAAGAATATATATATTGGTTACTCAGACCTCTTTTTTGAGAAGGAAAAATTTTTAATGAGAGTTGCAGCTTGATATTTTAACTTTCTTACTGTACTTTTTTTTTGTTTTATAAAGCAGTTTTCCGATAAATTTAAATCAGAGAAGCTTATTTAGAATAAAAGAACAGTAACAATAGAATTTAACTGAGCAACCTTCTTCAAGCCACAGTGCATTTAAAAATTATTAGGGAAGTAAACTAGTCTAAAGAAACAGCATTTTAAAATGTGTATTTTTCTATTTTGTCCCCAATTTTTATAGTGTAAGGTATGAAGTATTACAGAAATTTTGATCTTTCAGAATACCTGATTGAACGAAGTAGAATAAATTAAAAAGAATATCGTAATACTTATTTGGGTTTTTTTGCTCAGAGTTTGTAAGAGACCATATGTCTCTGCAGTGAAAAGTTGTAGGTTTCAGCATCTTTTTAGATGCTTATATGGCAAATTTTCATACTAGTATGATCAGGAAAGACAGGTAGTCTCAAATATCTTTTATTCTTAGCTTATGCAGATGGCTCCAAGGAGGACATGCTGCATTTACATGGTAGTATCTTGCAAACTGTCAGGAAATTTTTAGTAATCCTGAAGCTCTGTGGTACTGAAGATTATCTTTTGCCTGAAGCTTGCATTTGAAATTTGCAGCCTCCTGAGGTTTAATTTAGTTAATATGATTTATTAGACGTGTTCAGGGTGAGATTTTTATGTCAGAGTGGTTGCAGAACAAGATACTTTTCCCTCTGCTTTCTATTACTTTGTGTGTAGAAAAATGTAAATAGTGCTTGTATAGCAGCTATCTGTGAGATGTATGTAAACCGTGAAAAATAGAAGAAGAGATTTGAAGTAAATTGAAAAACTGGAAGATGATGTTCAAACTATCAATCATCTTTCTTTTCTTCCCTGCTTAGCTCCTGTTTCAATGACCTTGTGGTTTCTCTTCTGAATTATTCATGTCATGGTGACAGGGTTTACAGACATGGCTCTTATAAGCTTAAAAGTAAAACTTAAATTGCAAATGCTCATATGTGTGAGAAAGTAGAAGAAATTTCTTTAGAAATCAGAAGAGGAATCTTAAGTAGAGGATTTCCATCTTGATATTTCTGGGATATGAGTTTCCTTTTGTGTACTGCTTCACTTAGTACTTTTAGCAAGTGAACACATGGAATATTTTGGAAGTATGTTGATGTTTTGAAGCTTGTATTGTTTTTCTCAATGGACAAAAGTGGAAGAAGGGAATTCAGCCCATCCTGCAGCAGCTGATGATGCTTTTAATTGTGATACAAGATGCATCTGTATCAGAAAACTGCTTTCAAAAGAATAGATTTCTCAATCCTGTAGCTGTCATCATTTTTATGGAGGTCTTTAAGCAGTTGTGAAAATTCTTAATTTTTAGTTCTTGGGTACAGGTTAAGTTGGACAAAATATTTAATTTCAGAAGATACAATCAGTGGATATCTTATAACACAGTATTCTTACTGTGCCCAGAAGGCTACATTTCGTCTCAGTAACCATGTTCATTCAGCAGAGAAGAAATCCCTTTCATAAAAATTATCCCAAACAGGATCTTACTGTGGTGTCTCCAAGGTCTCCTTGCAGTCTGAACTCCAAATTTTTGTGCTCTGAGGTCTCCATAAGACTCTGGATACTTTAAGTACTTAGCCTTGGGAATCATTCCCAAAAGCCATGCAAAGGAAACTGGAAAGATAAATATAGTAGGTTTTTTTTCCATTAGGATGTTATTAATAAATGTGGCTCTGTTTTGATGAGTAGTGGAAGAATTAAGGCTAGAGGAACAGAGAAACAGGGAATGTAATTTTTCTGAAGGAGTCAGGAATACTGCATTGAGATTGTTGCTATCTTTGAGGAGTCCCTTCAGTCTGTACAGTTTCACTGTACTGGAAAAGCTAGTGGAGTTTTTAGGTTGGGAATGATCAGTGTCCAACAGCTGTCAGAAAACCTGGCATTAGGCATTTTGATGGTGGCAGTGCTGTTAGATTTTAGATGACCAATGCTGGGACCCCTTGGAAGAAGGGGAAGGTAACTTAAACTGCTATCTGTGGACTTGTGAATTCATACGTGGCTATTAGACTTGTACATTTCTGAATGGAAATTCTTTATGTATCTCTGTTCCCTTCTTCCTGCTGTAACTGGTGCTTTATAAATAGAAAGCAGCAGAATCAGTATCTTTATCCATTCACAGTAGTCCTTTCATATGTAATTCTAAATCAGTAGTAAAATTTTTAACTACTGTGTAAATGTAGGATTGATGGCAAATTATTTCTATTTGGGGAATGTGCCTTGAATTTGCCATTTTTGTTCATAAGCCACCTTATTAGTAAAATGTTTTTCTTTTTTTAGCTTCTCTGTTACCTATGGTAGGAACTCCTCGTGGATTTTCTTCTGTGAAGAAGATACAAGAATACGGATTGTAAAACTGGTAGAAACACTCAGAAGATTTGACAAGTCTAAGGTGAAATAAAAATTTAGATATTTGACCTTTTTTTAAATGATTGAGTGTGTTTTGCCAAATGTTGGAAAAGATATGTCCAAACACCTTAAAATAGGGGTATAGATTTCTGTTGCTGAGACTGAGAGCAAGGTATTTAACACAAAAGAGTACCAATGTCTGTATAGCTGTTGAAGAACTGTTAAAATCTAGCAGAGAAACCAATTTTTTCCTGTGAATAGCCTGAAAATTATGTACCATAAATAAAAAGATTAATATAGCCTGTTTTGTGGTCCCTTCTCCCCATTTTTCTGTTATCAATTCTGATTATCATTGGACAATGACTAATGCTAGTTTATCTCTGATGTAAAGTAGTAGGGTGTTTTACTTGCATTCTGTTGCTGATCTCTCTTGGTGATAAGTATTGTATACCTATTAGGGAAAAAAACAACACCAAAAGACTTGCAGAACGAAAGAGAAGTACAGTCACCAAGGGGCAAAGCAAATTTGGCAATGCAACTGGCATGAAAGGTGTTCTAATATTTAGAATTTTTAGTGTTCAAGGAAAAGAAACCACCTTGGTGTCTGACCTTTGCCAGTAACAAAAGAAACCAAAATCTCTTGTGTGAAATATGTTTTCCTTCTTTGTTGTAATTCTGCTTTAGGACTCACTTTAGCGTATTTACTTCTTTTTCAGGCACAAGGCCATGTGGTTTCTCACAGTTCTTTTCTAAAATGGTAATAATAATAAAAATTCAACGATCTTACCTTTTGAAACACTTGGTATTCAAAACGGAGGACTGAATATATTCAGACCTTTGGAATATCTTCTTTTTCTGTTTGAGAAACACCTACTTGTAATTTATATTCTCAGAACAGAAATATGAACATTTATATTCTATATGCTGCCCTTTTGCCAATTTTACTCTCTCCTTTGCATTACATACAGATTCTAATAAAATAAAAAATTATGTTCCAACCTGCAATAAAAGGAAAATAAAACATTTTGCTTTTGTACATAGTAATTGTCATTTTAGTGTAACAGTCCATCCCTGATTCCTTATATATAATGGTAGCCATCAGGTACAAAAAAGGTGATTTATGTCAGAGATCCTTCAATATTAATTTTAAGGTCTCAGCAGCTTTGCATAATAGAAAGTTGGTATGCAGGTTGCCCAGCGAGATTGTGGAATGTATTCAAAACATGATTGGACAGAGTCCTGGGCAACCTGCACTGGGTGATCCTGCTTGATCAGGGGAATTGGACCAGGTGATCTCAAGAGGCCTCTTCCAACCTCAGCCATTCTTTGGGTTTCAGTGTTCTTTGAGTAGGTGGAAACTAAGGCATGTTCTGGAGTTAGAAAATGCAGCCTGTATTTGATTTCAGAGAACAATCTCTGGTTTCATTTCTCACTAAGTACAGTTTTTGTCTGGATTACTTATTGTGAATAGTGTGCTTCCCTTGTTTTTGTTTTCAGGTTTGCTGAATTCAGCATGAATGCAGTTGTCCTCTTCACTAAAAGGATGCTGTAGATGAACAAAATTGTTTCCTATATTCCTTTACAGGAGTGGTTTTTAGGTAAAGCATTATATGATGAAGAATCTACAATAATTCACCATTATGCCTTTGCGGAAAATCCTACAGTCTTTAAGTTTCCAGATTTTGCTGCTGGCTGGGCACTTAGCATTCCACTTGTTAACAAGTAAGAATTGAATTTTAAGTCACTTCCTGTTAATTCTCCCATTATTCCACACATTCCAAGTATAATTATTATGAACGCTTCAAAATTAAACAAGAGTGCAGAAATAGATTTCCGTATCATTACTCTGCATGTGATTTATTTTGCTTCACTCTGCCTACATCAAGTAGCTAATAGTTGTCCAGTACTAACTGTTTAACTAATTCAATTCCGTATTGTAATTTTAAGAATGTATTTTTCCCCACACAGTGGTTTCATTCTTGGGTCATAGAGTATCTGCACTGCCCTCTGGAAGGGTTTCTCATGCTGTACGGACAAACTACATATTCATTTCTGCTTAGACTCTTAGGTGCTTTCAAATGAGATTTGAAAAGTTCATAGATTTCAGAAGCTGAATGAGTCTTACCGTAGCAAGGATCAATGTTCTCATTAATTGAAAGGCCCTAAATGCTATGCTTTGAAATACACAGAAAGAGAATCTTGTCTGTAGTTTGAGATGCTGATCAATACTGAGCTTCAAATGCACTGCTGCTTTTAATCTGTTGAAAGTTTTATGCCAGACTCTCTACCTTCTCCAGATGAGAACTTTCTTCTTGTGCATGAAGAATGTATCAAAGTGTGTGTGTTGAAAACTAATATTAACATCATTACATTGTCAGATGTTTTTTAAAAACTTTATATGATAAATATAAGTTGCTTCTTGAGGCAATAAATACAGAAATGTGATGTATGATTATTTTTCCCCTTATAAGATGGTCAGTAGTACCAGCTAAACTTTCCTGCATGCAGAAGTGATTGGGTTTTTTTAATATGCTTGATTAAATTTCTTCATCTCTAATTACATAGGCTTGCAAAGAAGTTGAAGATTGAACCACTCAAATCAGACTTTACAATAGATTTAAAGCATGAGGTAAGAAGCGGAGTGATGAAAGAAAAAATTGTCTCAAAGTTATATATTTGAATAGTGTTAAATCATAATGGAAATAAGATATTATTCTTAAACATTGCTAAAAAGTTTGACTGCAATGGCATGTTAGATTTTTTCCTTTAGAGTATTGTAATACTTTAGAACTAAAAGTTCATTAATAAGCTTGCAGTCATATAAGCATGCATACACGGTTGTATACATTAAGGTGTCTTCTAAGGATTGCTCTGTAAGGAAGGAGGGAGGCTTCCAATTCATGAATCATAGGAGGTGAGTAGTATCTCAATTCTAGCCAGCCTCACTTTCTGAATCAGCCTCTCACAGCTAAATACGATGGGGTTTGCATTAAATACTCAGAGGAATCTACCTTTGTGTGAACAAGCAGTGTTGCGACTTGCAGCTTGGAAGTCTGGAAAGACTTTTTTGTCTCTGGTATGCAAAACTATCAAAAGGTTGTCAGAAGGTATTTCAGACAGTGAGTGAACTGAAAAGGACAGTGAGGGACTGAAAGGAACTGATAAGGAGGCTCTGAAAGAGTATCTGTGCTACTTTTTTTTTTCTTGGGGGGGGCGGGGGGTTTATTTTTTTCTGCATTTATAATGTTTGTTCTGTCCAGGCTTTTGTACTGTCACCAGAGTGAACTTCTGAACCAGGGGTTGAAGAGGGGGATGAATCTGGAATAAGCTTCTGGCCTGAAATAAGAATATGATGATTAGGATAAGGAATGTGAAGAAGGAAGAATAGGATTAAGATTTTGGTTTGAAATGATGAAGTAGTTTTAATTATTGCAACATAAATCTATGGTGTATTTATAGAGTATAGATATGTATAGTTATATGCTAATATATAGAATATATAAATATAAATTATATATATAGTATATACATATGTTTATTTATATTTAAATACATTTGGTTTTATGCAAAAACATTCTTTTATATAGTTTCCCCTCACTGATTGATGCATTTCTCAAAAACAATTGAATCCCTCTCAGCTTTCATTTTGCTGTGAGAAACAAGACCAGAAGCTGTTTTTTTTTTCCTCTTCTTAATTTTTTTTTAATTCAAGACCTTGGGTTTCACAATGTCATGTTATTTTAACTTTATTTTTAAGACAAAATCATTCATATATTCCCAGTATTGCAGTCTACCTCAGCACTAAAAAGGTATCTAAACATGTTGTCATAAAAGATTATTAAGAGGCACTTCTTTATGTGCCACAGATTGCTTAGTAAAAACCAGTTGATCACTTGACCAACAAAATTACTTCCATCCACTTATTATTGTTAGCAGGTCTTTGCATATGTTTTATTTCAAATTTATTGCCAGCGATAACATACTTCAGCCCTGTAGTTATTCTTTCTGCACACTCTCATGTCTCCCTAGAGACAGTCTCACTCCCTCTTTTATTTAATAAATCACCATCTTCTCTGTCTTAAATCATTTTTTGTCTACACTCTTCTTGTGTGAATCAAGAGTGACAAAAAAATCAAAGAATCTGTTTTTTAGGATTGGGTATAGTGTTTAAGTTTATAAGAAATATTTTAGTTTGATGGACTCCTAATAGCATATGCCTCCAGTCTTTGGGTTTTTATTGTGCTCTACATACTTTTTATTTTTTCTTTTTTGTTTGTGTTACCTTATTGCTTTCAAAGTCCCTATTTCTTATATCCATAATATTTATATCACTTTTGTATATGGTAAAGTGTTTTTGTCATGCTGCTGCTCATTTGTAGGTTGTCAAGTAGCCTTTTTGTAATTGTACCATATTCCCTGATGCCTATTCAAAGCTGGAATTGAATAACAGAATTTTTTGTACAACGTTGGGTCTGAACTAGGACTAAGACTATTTTAATCTTTTTATTGTAAATGTTTCCATTGTTTTAGTAACTTCATGTCATCCTGTGCTACAACCCAAAATGGCACTCTGCCTCACTTCTGAAATAAAATAACTTCACACCATTCTCAGGCTTTCTATTGAAATTTCATTTGTCAGTGGGAAATTGTAGCACATTGTGGATTTTCATAAATAATTAATCATAAGATTCAATTGTCAAATACTCTGTTTTCTAGGAACATTGCTTCTTTGTTGGTTCATGTGATTAATTCTAAATAGCTGAATCCTGAACTAATACAGGGTCACTTGGATAAAGGACCCAGGAGCACAAGTACTGTTCTCTATCCTTCCACTTGCAGGGAGTGACAGGAAGAGCCAGCAACCAACACTTGTATCTGAGCATGATGCCACCAGCAGAATGTGGAGGGGTTAATTAATCAACGCAGGGACAAATCTGCTACACTATCCCATATCATTCACTTTTCATGTTAATATGATTTCTTTGTGTGCCCTGAAAATTTTTATCTAGTTTAATTACTGATATGAATGTTTCCAATTTTGATAGATTGCCCTGTACATTTGGCACAAAGGGGAAGGACCACATCTTACTCCAGTGCCCGAGTTCTGCACAGATGATGTGAATTCATTTAAGGCTGATCACTGTGCAACAACATTCAGTAACTTTCTGCCACTTTGTGTAAGTACGATATTTTAAATACTATTTGCTTAGTAAGACTCCTACTAAAACATATAATAGTTGCCTTCAAAAATCTCAAAACTTGAGAAAATATTTTTAAGTAAGCTAATAAATACCCTAACAAAATAGTTTGTTCTGGCATTTATCTAGGATGTGTTTTAGATATGCTTTCAGGCTTCTGTGGCACAGAATATTTCCTGGCAACTAACATTGTGTATGCTTTAATGAGTCTTTTTACCAAAATGTTTGGTTGGCGCATGATCTATAATTATTTATCCTTGCACTTTTTACACAGTGAGATACTGAAGTATAGATGATCTTTTTCTCTTCTCTACAAATGAGACACTAAAACTCATTGAGGCTAAAGATAAAATGTAATGGAGTAATTGGTGCCTTAAAGTACAACCCGTCTCTTCCACCTCTAGGAGAACACATTTATTATATTAGGAATGAAGTGTAGCTAGAGGCCAAAAAATGTTCTATGCTTCCAGGAGAGTAAAAACCTAGGTGCCAAAAAGGATAACAAATCAAAGTGGTCAAATGGTTTATTACCTTTAAAAAAACGCAAAGATTTCTAGTGTGTATCATTTAAGATGGTTTTTCCAAGTGTGATTCAATTTGTGTTCTCATAGTGACCGATTTGAAAGAAATTAAGAAAACATTCTTTTTCGGATGAATCGTTCTTAGTTCAACAAGTTTTTCTGCTCACAATCTTTTCCTAGTGATAGGTGTGTCATTTTTTGTTAGAGTACTACATCAATGGAAAAAAAATTCCAATAATATTTCAGGAATTTTAAATTACCAATGCCTTTCTTTTCAAGAGATAAAAATTTACTTTCTGATCTATCATGAGAACACTATTCTGATTGATACATCATACAATAGAAAGATAGTTCCTGTTTTATTATATGTGTGGACATACATATCCTGTAAAACACTACAGGCACAGCCTGTACTTAAGAGATTAATTTTTGTTTTGTTCATATAGGGAGAGCCAGTGAATAAGGAAGATGTTTTTGTTGCTGTAAAAACATGTCGAAAATTTCATGGTGACAGAAGTAAGTTGTTGGCTGGTCAAGGTAGTAGTTCTATGCAATATAGTTCATAAAATGAATATTTTAAAAGCAAGCTGATATATGCTGTCTCTGTTGCTCTTGGGACTAAATGTTTGCAAAATCGACTCAAACAGGAAGGTTTTGGAATTATAAACAGCTTATCCTTCAGGTGGAATCTTTTTGCTGTTCAGAGTCCTTATGAGTGCTGTTAAATGTTTAAGATTAAAAATTATTTCATCATTAGTTGCTGTTGGCAAAAATCTTGGAATTGAATACCTAAATTAAAACATGCATAGGATTAGCTTATATTGTTGTAAATTGGAACTTTTGCAATATTTATTAAGCAGCTATTAATATTCTTCAGTGAGTTTCCCCAGATAATTGCTTCGCTTTTTTTCTTTGTGCTAGCAGTGCCACTTGTGCAGCTCTTTGGTGGCTACCTTACAAATTTGAACAAACTGAAGGGTTGCTCATCTCCTCCTTCCTTTGCCCTGCCCTCCTCCTCTCCAGTAAAAGATTGAGCAGCTTATGCTGTCATGTTGCTTCTAGCTGTTCCATCTGCACATGTGTTTTATAATGCTTAGAATGGGAAAATCTGTCCCTTCCAGAAATCTGGTCGTATGTAGTACTTTGTCCAACCGCCGCCCCTGATCAAGAGCACATGAAACACTATAGCATGTTTCATCTGGACCTTCATCTGAAAATTGTAGTTACATAAGCAGCAATAGTAATCATGCTAAAAACAACAAACAAAAAAACCCTAGCACAGCCCAACAAGATACATACACTTAACTACATTGTGTTAACTACATTAACTTCCTCCTCAGAGGCACAGAAAATAGACACAGAGACTCTCGGCTTCTGCTAACACATAGTAATGCTCAGCTAAGTTGAGGGAGATAAAGTCTCAACAAAGCCTGGAAGAAAACATTTCAAATCCACCTACTGAACAGAAGACACTCCACCTACTTGATGCCACCTACCAGTCTCTTCTTGTTTGCTTTTAGACATTTTGTTAATAAGGAAGAGATTTGTTTCCAGGAATTTGCTTGATTTTTTTCTTGCTCTTTAATAATCCAGGTGCATATATTCTCTCTGTTAGGCTTAGTTTGTTTATAAACATATTTTAAAGGGATTATAATTGGCAAAAAAGTTGAAAATCAAGTAATTGGTTAGTAGTTGTACCAAATTTTGAGAGTGTTTTGCCACACCTATTGTCAGAGGGCAGGATGAAAGTAAAAGCTCTTTTCTTAACTAAGTCTAGTTAAAAACAGGCAGGATGTTTTCATAATAAGATTCATGGAATTATTTTCTTAATGCTACTACACCTGATGAAAGCACATTTGTAGTGTTTTAGTCACATAATTGTTAGGTTTTGTAGCTTTTGACAAAACAAAATTGACTGTCCTGTAATTGGAGTTCACTGAAGAGTTCTCCTTCCTGGATCCATGTTAATTTTTTAATATCAAAATTTTAAAAAGAAGAAAAAGAAAAAAAACCCTAGAATGTCGGAGGCCTCAAAAAGATGGTATAAACATCCTTCAAGAAACACCTGTTGAAGACTGAGGAAAATTCTTGAACTTTCCTCACAGCTTCCAGTATTATGCAATAGAGGATAATCTTACTCCAGATTTTGAAAGATTAATGGATGCCAGCTTCAGAGAGCTCTTTTTACCTGGTAAGTCATTCTTTATTGTATGCCAAAAACTACATTAATGTAGCATTAAGGCTTGGAAATTGATGTGCTTTTAAAAGCAGCTAAATTTTACCTCAGAATTTACTTCAGATACAACTCTCCTTCTTATGCATACCATCTGTAGTTGTAAAAGAAATTTTCAAGACTGCAAGCATGCATCAGGGTTCTAGAAATAGCAGAAATAAAATGTCATTAAGAGCTTAGAGATGACCTTTAAATATCTCTAGTGGTATTAATACTTTGGTATGATCAGAAGTATTAATACATATTGATAAATATTTGCATCGTCATCTAGTCCAAAATTTCAAGTAGTTTTCTTTAGGAGATACAATTTGCCAGAGATTACAAAGTAATGTGGGATTCAATTTACAATTGACATAAGTCTGCATGGTGACACTTCCATCAAGACAAACAGGAAAGAGAAGGACACTTCAGCCAACAGCCTAAGAGCTCTTAACTGAGATGAGACTCAAGTCCTTGCTTCATTTATAGAAAGAAGTGGGGGCTCCACTAAGGGAATTGGGAGGCTCAGTCAGTAATTACAGATATTTCTGTGTGTTAAAGGACCCTGCTGAGTTTTAGGTCCTTGTCTGGAGAAAGAGAAAACAACCTACACAGGTGAAGCTCTTCTCCAGGGGAAGTTCGGATGCTCTTGTGTATCTGATTCTTCTGTTCTGAAGCCTTGTTCTCTGAAACCTTTCTGGTTTTGTTCTGCTGAGAAACATTTTTAAGTAAAACATTTCAACAGAATAAGAAAATAATTTCCTGCCTATATATATTTTTTGTACATAATTCCTTTTGGATTTTTTGTGAAAAAATGAGAACACTTTTACATTTCTTTAAGAAATTTTAAAAGTAGTATGGACCATTGCAAAATGCTACAAAAGTGATTTTTTTCTTCTCAAAATATTAAAGCCTTTCCATTAGTGCATTGAGTTCTTATTACTGTCTTAACACTAAAATGAGCTAAAAGGGAACTGTTTTCCAACTGACTGTTGATCAGTCAAAAGTAATAAATTCTGTGTGTTCAAAGTAGAGGGAAGTGAGCAACTAAGTAGGCAACAAACATCAAATTAGGTGATGGATGATTCTAGCAAGGGACTAAAGTATCCATGCCATTGATAACCTACTTCAGCCCTGTAGTTATTCTTTCTGCACAGTCTCATGTCTCCGTAGAGACAGTTTCACTTCCTCTCATTTATTTAATAAATAAATATTGTTGTTCACAAGCATCAGGGTTGTATAGCAGCACAGGGAATTTATGGAAATACTTCCTCCATTTAAAGCACTCCCTGCTACTGGTGAAACCTTGTGGATGGTGTCAGAGCATAAAGCAGAGAAGCACTAACAGCAGAATGCAGAGTACTTGCTCATCTCAGGCCTGACATCCTCATTTTTAAGATGGAAGAGAGATCATGATTTCAATCTGATGATTTTCATCTGAACACCCTGCAGATGGTTGGATTTTTTTTGTGTTACACATAATTTATTCACTTCTTGATGTAATGTAAACACTCATGGCATCATTACTAGAATTTTGTGTGATCAATTTTAAATGCTGATGTGAAGTGACAATCCAGTAAGAAAAGGGTTTTTTTTTTTAGATTAGCATGAAGCAATCCTCCTTTGAATAGAGTCTCCATGGGATTAAAATTGATTGTATATTTATAAACTATGCTAAACAAATATGTCTTATTTATAAATGAAATAATAAATATTTGTATGTGTATAACAGGAATGGTTATAAAATGTCCTGTGAGTGTGTCTCCAGAGACAGGTGCTTTGGAGCATTAATATGATGTTGCTGTCAGATAGGATGTGTATAATGCCAGTATAGTATTTCAAAAGGTACATTTGGTCTGTTTGTGATTCAGAATGTTACAGACTGTACAGCTGGATTAAAACGTGCCATTTCAATACTGGAAGAAGGACTAATCTCTGATAGTGTTCATGTTGATGTGTGCTATGAATTGTACAATAGCAAGCGTAAAAGTAGAATTCCATTATTTCGTAATGCTTTGCTTGGAAAAATATAAGTATCACATTTTTCAATTATTATTATGAATAATAGTATCATGAGAATATATTTATATTTTAATGGAATATTTTCATATCATTTAAATAAAACTGTCCTGACTGGCTTTCATTAAATTGTAAATTCTTTTTCTCTAAATATTATAGGAAAGAAAATAGAATGAACATTTGGAATTGTGATGCTGTATTTGAAGCAGCATTTTTATTGCATGCGAAGAAATGTGGCCAACAAAATGCAGTTAACATGAATATTTGGATCAAGTATCTATTTTAATCAAGTTCCTTTTGTTTGAATGTCAATCATTGTTTTGCAGTACCTGTTGTGAAGCAGACTTGGGAAAGAGAAGCTGCCCTTATTGAATACTACAGTGATTATGCAGACATCTCCATTCCTACTATAGACTTAGGTGTACCTAACACTGAGAGAGGTGAGCTTTTTGTCAGTTTTGCACAAATGACTGACTGAAAAAGTGAAGCTTTATGGATGATGTGTCTTTCATGTCAAGCACGTCATGTAGAAATTGTTTTTCTCTAGCACATAGGTGCAGCCTAAACTAAAGGAATGCTCTTCACACAGGAAACGGATGGAGAGTACATCCAGAGTCCCCCTGTGTAGATAATGTGTTCTTTTAAGCAGAAACCTAAATATGAAAGCATGGTATGCTGATATACACCAAGAGGAAAAAAAATTGGTTTATTACTTGGAGTAGGAGTAATAACTCTGCAGTTATTTATGATTTTCAGTAGGCTCATTAACAGTGAAGAAGTCATAAATTTTTTTCAAAAGACCTCAGGCAGTGCCAAGTGGTTACTAAGCATAAACTTCTTGCCATATGGTATTCCGATGTTATATCTATGTGCCTTGTATATCTTGATTTAAGCACAAAACCTGAATGTTAGGATTGAAACATCTTTTTATAGCAAACAACAGGCATTTAAATCAATTTCCTTTGTGATTATAAAAAAGCTATGGATATGATGACTTCCTTGAGTTTATTAATTTTGATGTTTTTCTTTCATTTGATATATTGGTCTTAGGGTGATATTTTATACATATTACCTTCTGAATTAAGGCCTGTTGGCCTTATTTAGCCCACTGGGTCAGTTCTGACCTCTGGGTTATTTCTGCCCCTTGGTTTTGTCTGTTAGAGGCAGAGAGAGCATAGGCAGGGATTTCTGTGTGCACAGGTGGAGCAGTTCATGAGCAAGCAGTGAGTGTTTTCAGGGGGCAGCAAGCCTGCTGGGCACACGTGGATCATTGGTAGCAGTCATGCCCAGTAGTTGCAGTCATGCCAGGAAGCTTCCATGTTTTGTGATAGATTATAATATAGAAATCTTGGGTTTAATTTCACAAATTTTCAGATATCAGTCTGCATTAAGTTCACAGTCTCACAAAATCACCAGAACAAGGACTTCCTTCATGTCTTTAGCATAGAATTACTGCATTTTCTCAAAGAATATTTTAACTGAAAATGGCTTCAGATATAATATTGTTATTTTGAGTGATTGTTCACAAAATGTAATATTGATAGCAATAAGTACTTTAGACAATCAACTGTGATGAATAAAGACTGACTGAAATGGGGTTTGTCCAAGATCTAAAGAAGACTCAGTAGAAGTTTGAAACTTCTTGTTTCTCAGGTCCTGCTTATTCTGAACAAGGGTGTTTCACTTCTGCACTCTTAGCAAAGGATGTCTTACCTCTTGAACTTCCTTATAATCTTGTGATAAATGTCCAGACCTTTACTTGGAGGCAGTGATCAGGACCTGAGTTGCCAGTGAGGAGTACAGTGCATTAAAATATATTTAAATATTTATATAAAAGTAATATTTCAAGATGCATCTGTCTGATGCATCTTGAAATGCTATGGCAGTGTCTTGGAATATTTTGTGGAACATCTGCTTCTATCATAGTCTCCTCATTCTTACAGCTCTTAAAGAGTAACAGTCCAGTATTGTTCAGTAGCTTGACAGATAAATTGACAGAATATATATTTAAATAAAACAGGAATTAAATTAAAAACAAGCTTTATTCCAGTTATTTTCTTTTTAGGTCACTGTGGGAAAACTTTTGCCATTTTGGAAAGGTTTTTGAATCATACTTCTCCCAGAACCCCTTGGTTGGTTGTAGTGGATGATGACACACTGATAAGGTATATATTGCATTCCTTTAGGAGCTACCATCTTTGTTAATAAGAGATTTAGCAATATTCACCCATCCTGCTTTACTTAAGAGGTACAGCTATTTTATTAGTCATGTGGCTTTATATTACTTGAAGAAAAAAATTCACTTCCCATCAGTATTCTTTTGACAGAGATTAAAGACAATATTGTAACTTCATTAAAACTGTGCTATCATGTAATCACATACTCTGAATACACCACATTTTGTGATTCCTCAGTGTAGGTATGCTTGAGCTGATAGGATTTAGTAATTTGCTAATGACCTGAGACACATTTGTTCCTCAGACAAATGTGTCAGAAGAAAGGCTCCATAAGCCCAGGTCAGTTGTCCGAGCTGCCCAGAGTGGTGTTCTGGAACTTGCATTTGTTGGACAATTGGATCCCATTCTTGCAAAGTCTGACGCTGCAGTATAAGCCAAAAAAGGCACAATGCCGGACATGCCGGATCACATGGTGATGAGCAGTGTTTTAAGACTTGACATTAAATCATATGACAGAAGGAGAAATAGTGAGAGGATGTAACTGTGGATAATGTAACATTCATATAACTAAATCTACCTTTTCAGTTTTCAATTTGTAAATGTTCACAGATAATTTGCAAAGATCTTATCATTGCTTGGAAAGTATGATTCATGTTTTCTTCAAGATGAGATGCAGTTTCACTGACAAATTGCCTACTTAAAAAATAATTCAAGCTAGTTTGTTCTTCATTTGACCAAATCATGCAGTCATATCTCATAGCAAATTATCCATCGTAAATTTCTCTTTAGCAGTTTGTATCTCTGGGGGAGTTTTTTTGGGTAGAAATTCTGAATTTCTCCTGCCATCTTTGTGCTATTTAATAGAACGCTGTTGAGGGTAACAATGTTCCAAAATGAATGTTTACAAGATTTTTTTTTTTAATGGTTTTTCATATTATAGTATATTCAGGCTCCGAAAATTGCTCAGCTGCTATGACCCAAATGAACCAGTATTCCTTGGAGAGCGTTACGGCTACGGCTTGGGAACAGGAGGATACAGTTATATCACTGGTGGAGGAGGGTAATTTATTTAAGTTCCTGCTGAGATCTACGTTAGTTCCTGTTTTGATGCAAATGTTTTAAATTACGACACAGGTTCAACAGAAACAGTGATGTTTTCCCCAAATGTGTGCAATTTACCTCACACCTTCTGTGTAGTGATACATGCTGGTCTCAAGTCCCCAGCTCTTCTCCCTTACATTTGAGTAAGATTGAGAACACCCTTTTGAGTCCAGGCCAATTTTAGGAGGAATTATAAGCTGCAGTAAAAATGGTTGGTAGCTAACTTATTGTTGGAATAACAACAATGGGTATAAGTGGTGTAATTAGTTTTCAGTATAAAAAGTAATGACCTTTGAGAAAATGCTTCCTGCACTATTTGTCAGTTCTGACCCCTTACATTTTGAATTTCAAATGTGTTGTATCAGAGGGCTACATTTGCAGTCTTGTAGTTTTAAATAATTTAGCAATATTTATTAATTACAGATATTTGGTGTCTTTAGAAGTTTTTATATATTTCATGTGCTTTTCTTAAATTCAGGATGGTTTTCAGCAGAACAGCTGTTCAGAAACTACTTGCTAGCAAATGCCGGTGTTACAGCATGGATGCACCCGATGATATGGTCCTTGGGATGTGTTTCAGTGGCTTAGGAATCCCTATAACACACAGTCCACTCTTTCATCAGGTCAGAGAGCTATTTTTGAGTGTTAAAAATGTATTTCACTTTTTAAGTGTACACATAAAACAGTCATAAATATCCAAACTCCATCTCTAGTAATAAACTAACCAAGATGCTGCTGCTGCTACTTTACCTTGATTCTCAGCAGAACAAGACTGATCAAATAAGAATGTTCTCATACTATGGATTACTACAATGCTTTGCTAGTTTATGTGGTATTTTAGCTAACCTATAGCTACATTTAATTAGAAATGCAGTCAGAGGTGAGGATTTTGAAGAAGAAATAGCATCAGGAGCCACATGCTTTGAATAGTTGTCATATGTCCTGTAAGGGAAAAAGCCTACAGCACAATAATTTTTTCTTCATGAAATGGAGAACTGAGTGAAAAATTTCTTAGTAAATCTGCCTGCTCTACTTACCTGCTTTTTCTGTTGATTCAGTGTTTACTATTGTGAAATACCTCATTAGTGAAGATACGAAATTATTGCTCTTATGGTGGGTTCTGAAGAATTATATAATTATGATAATTTGCTCTATGCTAGCACATGGGGAAAGAGAGCTTACAACATAATATTCATGTGAGTTTGGGAGAAAGGGGCTGGAGTAGATTTGAATCTCGTTTGTCTTCCACAGTATTTACCAAGCTAACTGTAGTGTCACAGTGGAAAGCATGATGCATTGAGGCCTATAGACATTTTCTTCCTTGTAAGCAAGTAAACCAAATCCTTCCATGGTATGAACAAGAAGCACTAGAGGTTTTTTTTTTCTCCAAACAGTGCACAACTATTTTAAAAGTTAACATTTAAATCAGTGTAGCATTTGATTTTTTCAGGTGTCAATCTAGTTGAAAAACTGGGAAGCCCTGCATAACTGATGTGAGCTGAGAATAAGATAGTAAGCTGCTTGAGAATTAATAAATTACCCTGTAGTTCAAAGCAGCTGTCAATGGAGGGGATTTCTTATTTAAATTATCAGCTTTTCCTATGTTAAGATTCCATTTCTGATTACATTTACTGTTTAGAGATATGGGAAAACTGAGAATGTACTATTCAATATTTTAGTTCCTTGTCCATATAAAAAAATTATCTGTTTACTCTCTTGTTTTGTTTATCATTCCTTATTCCTTTCAATATAGAAAGAAAACAAGTTATGCTTATAAAATCAACAGTTACTGAATAATTTTGCTTTCACATGTGTTAGAAAAAAGCAAAACAACAAACCAGCCTAATTAAAGGAGAGTCAGGACAGAACTCATTCGCCAAAATTATAAGAATGATTCATACTCAAAAAAACAGGACCTCCTTGTAATTCTTAATAGTGTGCATTTGATACTGAATCACTTTGAAAGTGAAATCCTAGCAGTTTGATTTTCTACATGGAAAATTGCACTTGGCTTCTAGTTCTTTACTGCTGCTTGTAACAAATTCTAATTTAGCATCCCTTGAAAAAAAATTAACCCGTGAGCAAAAACCACTGAATAAAAATTTAATGTTCTTATTCTACTAAATCCACTATAGTGCAAAAAGTATTTTAAAAATGAGAAAACCAATTTTGGATTTTCTGTCAACCAGAAAAGATCTTTTTAAGGACTTGACTGAAATATTATGATTTGTGATGTTCCTTGAAGTATGTGACTGTAAAATTGTACTGAGATATAGATGATGAAACAGAAGCAAAGATATCTTCATTCTTGGAGTGTCTTTGATGTATTTGCTCACTCTTATTGGTTTTCTTCTGCTTATTGCTGAGGTAGATACATGCATATTCTGTAACCTGTTCCAGAGGTTTTTGACATGATCAGACTCTTAAAGGGAACAGGAACCTTCCCATGTTGAGTAGCAGCCAGAATTATGGTCTTAAATAAAAATTTCTGGGCTATAGCAATATATTTGGCTTTTCTAGAACACCAAATAGAAATTTTAGCAAAAAAAATTACAGTTATTAGACTATTATTTTAGAATTGTCAAAACACCAGAATTTTGTCTATAGCTTATAAAAAGATGATTCATTTTCAAACAGTAAAAATCTTTGGTCTCAGATGTGTAAAAACTGTCTCTATCCAAAATAAATTAATTATGTTTTTGAAACCTAAATGTTCTTCAATGTGTTTTTCAAAAGTCATGAGGGATACAGATTCCCTCTTGCTTCCTCCAGTGGAATTTCTAAAAATAAGCACTCTGTGTTTTAAGTATCAGAATAAAACAGCCAAAACAACCAACCACACATACTCAGCTTTCATAACGTCAAATTCTCTTGCCTAGCTTTATGACTGTAATGTATACAGAACTGCATGGAGAATTCATAAATACCACCATAAGTAGGTGAAGCATGCAGTATTGAATCAGTTACCAGCTTAGGCATCAAATCTGTTATTTGTTATCCGAGTCATTAGGTTTTCTTGTTTGGGCTTTTTTTTTTCCCCTAGATGTAAAACACAAATGTTTGCCTTCCATACCTTTTTCTTACAAAAACTCTAATAGCAAAATGTAATTGTTTTACCAGGGACCACTACAGGTGGGAATTTTTAATGTAATGGTGCATTTAGTGTCATTGAACTGGCAGAGAAAATGCAATACATGTGGAGCATTAGGACAGCAGCTGCATCTTGTAGCTGTGTTGTAATTCTGTCTGGTTTGATATAGGCTGATAAAGAATAACAACACAGTTTTCTGGCACCACAATGCATCTCATGTTTGGAATCTTTACCTGTCATAAACTCTATATTTTCTGGCTTCTTATGGCCTTATTAGAATCCTGCTATCACAGTGGCAGTGCTGACAACTCTCATCAGAGGAGGAAGATAATATAGTTTAAAATAATTTTGTCATTATTGAGCCAAACCTACATATTTTGAAAGATTTCATACCAACTACACTGTTTATTGCTTGACTTCTGAGATGGTGGTCATTTCGCCTGAGAAATAGGGCATATTTGGTATCAGTGTACATCATTCCTAGCATGATGACTGCAGTGTGAGTTAAAGATTTAATCTAATGCTTGGTCAATTGATTTAATAGAATGATGTCAAAACCCCTTTGTTACCATCTTGCATATTTTGTCAGTGCCGTGTTGTTGTGTCACAAGGGCCATTGAGCAGTGATATCTTCTTAAAATTATTACTGATCATTAATACCAGTGCTTTTGCTCTGTTCTTCCATCTTAGGCAAGGCCAATGGACTACCCAAAAGACTACCTTTCTCACCAAATTCCAGTATCGTTTCACAAGCACTGGAATATCGATCCAGTGAAGGTGTATTTCACGTGGCTGGCACCAAATACAGGAGAGTCACGTAATGGAAAAAAAGTTGGATATAACAGAGAGGATTTATGAGCAGTGGAAGAATATAAGTGTTAATTACTATTCTACAGCTGAGAGACAGTCACTACTGTGGTCTTTGTTTTGTTTTCACATTGTTCATTTGTTCATTGCATAAGATGACAGTGTTTTGTTCCTGTTGGTTGCATCCCTTCGGAACAATGAAGAAGGCACTTAAATGACTTGTGCATTATTTTCCTCCACTTGTTTTCTTTTTAGAATGATGGTTGGGCTTTGTATACCAATGAACTTGACTCACATTTAAGAGTCATACACAACTTTACCTGTGTTCTGCTTTGGACTCGGTTCGGACAGCATCAATTTACATTTCCTTCCTTTGCTTTCTCAAAAGCTGAATTTTTGTATTTGGGAGCCTAATATTGAATAAGAGTTGAACATCTGTTAAACATCTCTCACTGACACAAAACAGTTCTCTAAGGTTTTGGAACAGTTTCTTGATAAATCATAGAGGACACTTGACTTTTTTTCTGCAACCAGGAGCTAGATGGTGTGAAAGCTGTACTCCTTTATGCTCATTTCAGACAGAAGTACTGTCATTTGCTGGAGTAGCTGGACCAGATATGAAACCACTGTTGTACCTTTAAAGTTTGTTGGCATTTGTGTGTAATGTCATGTACAAAATGGAAAGGTTAAGGACAGGGATCTTAGATGGCCACGGGAGGTCACTGTGGCTCCTTTAGAAACTGAAGTCACTGTACATCAATTTGGCAAATCTAAAAGTGACTCTTAAGGATTTTTGCAGAACTAACATTTCAGTATTTCTGATGTGTGCATTTGAATAGCCTATGAATGCCAGCTTTAAAATTTTGTAGTATCCCTAATTTATATCGCCAAGATAAATAATTTTATGCATACAACATGTAAAGTGTGAATCATATTTAAAACATTCTTGATTTTTTTTTTTAGTAATTAAGTTTTGTAAAAATGTTTGTACAAAAACTGGCTTTAGTATGTTCTAAACTTATTTTTATATTGTAAAACTGCTTCTTTTAAAATGACAATATATGGCACTTGTATGCTGTTATTTCACTTGGCTTGCTATGTCGTAACCAAATACAGGGTCTTAAAGCCATACTGCTGAAGTAATTAGTGTTTTGGTTTCTTTTAGTAGGTTAAAAATTTATTCCACTCCAAAGAAAAGCAATACTTGCTCTAGAGTCAAAGTAGGGGAGCCACTGATTCCTGTCTCGGTAATTACCAAATTTGTATAAACGTTTGTTTGTAAATGTAGCTTGTGGGTTTCTAAGCATTGAATAGCAAGCACATATTCATAATAGATTCAAATTCTGATTAAGAAATAGCAATCCATGTTATGCCTTTTTTTCTTCACACTACCAGTGCCTTAAACAGTAGACATTTTACTGATACCAGGATTATGTTCTCTGATACTGTTGGTGAATTGTTAATTATGTTTACTGTTTAGAACTGTGAAAGCTGAATAAAAGCATTCTTTAACCTTTTGTGCCTTCTTCCTCTTTGCAAGCCAAATGCAGGATTCTTTAAGCACCAGTTAAATAATTCCGTCACCTTAATTTTAATTACTGTCAGTTTTATAAAAAGGCAGCTTAACCTTTGGGGTTTTTTCATGTTCTGTCCTGACTTACATATTTGGTCAGTTTTCAGCCTCTAGTTTTGTGCAAATGGAAAATGTTGTTTCAATGAACACCTTGTGATTGAGAGCCTTGATGCTATCACAAAACATTTCAATACCAAATTCTCCAAAGGTCTTGCAACAAAGTCCAGTCAGGTGCAGCTTCCAACTGGTGATATTTAATCTCTCCTTGGGCCCTGTGGAGGCAGAGTAGATCAACAAAATATGATTAGATTTGAGTCCAGGCTGTGTTGTACGTGTAGATGTGGAAGTCATTGACTTGTTGATTGATTGCTTACTTGACTTTTATTTCTGGTTTGACAAATGTAGTAGTAGCTGTTTTGAAGTCCATCTTTTCCCTTGCTGTTAGCTCTGGGTTTTACCGCAAGGTTTCTGGAGGTATTAGTAAGCATCAGACTTCTGATTTTAGTCTTCATAGTTTTGCTCAAGTATTTTGCCCATAAAATTCTGACTTTTGAGACACTGCAGCAGCATGACACAAAGGACCTTGTAGTCCACCACCTAAATAAGATTTTTTTCAAGCAAAGAATCACAAAGAGTTTATATAAACAAGATGTGAAGCCGTCTATGTGAACTTTAGTTTTAGAAGATTCAGGATGACTGTTACAGGCTGAAACCTAAGGACAAAACTGTGTGTTAATGAGCCTGAACAGTACTAATGTTTCTAAAGAAAATCAAGTGGATTATAAATGGTGTCATGTTAAAGCAAATTAGTAGAAGAGGCATTCACCAACTCCATTGGTGCTCACATCAGCGTGGTGGCTTCACCCTCTGTACTACCCCTCTACACACATCTGCTGTGTCAGTATAGAACAAAGTCACTCCCCAGTCACACTGAGGATTTTTTCTTTAATTAATTGTTTCATTCGGCAAAGAAATAGATTTGGTATTGATTTGTAGGCAACTGTTTTATCTGTTTCAGTTTGTGACAATGTGCACATATAAAGAATAGCTTTTTTAACACACAGTGTCATAGTGGTAGCCACTGTGTAACTACCTGATTTAAATTCCATCCTGAGAAGAAAGGTCCTCATCCTTTTCAGCTCTCAGCCTGTTGTTTACAGGAAGAGACCTGTGGGGCTAGAGGAAGTAGCAAAAGGTGAACAATGTGTTTTTATCTACCTGCTTTTGCAGATTCCCTTGACTTGTTTATTTGTACTCTTGTCAGCCAGGAAGCGGAAGTACCTCCACTGAAATCAGTTAATAAAATTTCTTCTGCTAGGACCTGCATTTGCATGGCAATAAACAGCTTTGGTGGAGTGTGTATTAGTTCTGAACATAAGGGGGAAAGACACAGTAGAAATAATTTATTTAAAAATTAAAAAGGTAAGTGGCATTATGCAAATGCATACAGAGGCCTAAAGGACTCACTGTCAAAGAAAGGAAGAACTAGTTTGTAAAACAGGCTATGGAGAAGAGTGATAGGAAATTATATCTATGGAGTTTAATGAAAAATTCTTTGTGGAAAATCTATAGGCATGCTGCTTTTATAAGCTAAAAAAAAAAAACAAAAAACAATGCTAAGATATTCTTGTGAGAAATGAAATTCTAAAGCAATGCTTTTGTAAGTCTGAAGGCTTAAGAGCCTGACTATTAAACAGAACTTCTCCAAAAAAGTTGAAAGCACTAGACTGTTAATATTTTATAGACTCAACTTACCAAAAAAAAAAAAATGTAAGCAGCTTGTTAATTAATAAGAAGCCATTAAAGAAAATTTTCTACTGGGAAGATTATTGTGCATCATGAACTGACTTGTGTCCACTTCTCATTCATGTATTTCTAGCTGGGACATCCTCCAGATGAATATAATGTCCCTCATTCAAGGTCCTCATAGCAGCAGCTCATGCATTGCCCTTGTTCTACGGGCACTACACCCCATCTTCACAGGGGTGCTCTGTGACACCGGCTCCCCAAAAGCCGGGGAGAATGGCAAGAAATACATATTCCTTAGGAAGGAGGGAGACTGTAGGACTGAAGACCTGAGTTCCTCAGTTGTCTTAAGGAGAGCTCTCACTCGTCCTCCTTCGAAGTAGCCATTCCCTGGCTAGCAAGGCAGCAGAAATTATGTGAGGTGTAACCCCTCAGTAAAGACAAATGTGCAGTGATATCCTGGAGCAGGTCAAGCTCAGTCGCAGCTCCAGAGGCGTTGGTACCTCTAAGGACAGTCAGTCACAAGTGCTGATGGGAGATGTTGGTTAATTCACCAGCCTTTTTTTCCAGAGTGTTCTTAAGACTTCTTATGTCGCTAAGTTTCTCTTTGCTCCTTGAGGGAGCCCTTTTCACAGAGCAAAATGCTCCAGGTGCAGTGCTTTGATGCAGCCTATGCTGTGATCCCACGGCCTCATTCTGCCCAGTCCTGAAGCTGTGCTGAAAAGTTCTCAGTCTATCTCTTGTCCTTACAAACCAAGTTACTAATTGGTTGTTCCTCTTTCTGTTGATGCTAACTAAAACATCTGGTCCTACAAATGCAAGTTCTGGAATGACTTTACACTTGATAAATAGTGAAATAAGTTTTTAACAAAAGAAAATATGGACAATCATACTATGGTTATGAGGTTATTATATTCTGGTGAGAAACTGTCAAGTGCAGTTCAAATGTCTGAAAAAGATAAGATTTTGCTTCATAAGAGCTGGCTTACTCTACCATGGTTTGCCCCTTGTTCACTTAAGTGATATGATCAACATGTAAACAATCCTTGCTTTAGAAGCTCATATTTGTCCTGCCACCATTGTCCAAACCCTGCTCTTGGGGACTTGGTGCTTGAAAGGTGAAGCTCCAAAAACAGGGAAGTTTCTTTCTTGTCTACAATTTTCTCTTGTGCTCTGTACATCCTGCAAAATCTGTTTAACACTGGACCTGTGACCTGAGCCATACCATTGTTCCTGGCTTGAGAAAAGGAAGATGGAGCCAAGCTCTGGCTAGGCTGAAATGCCTGCTCCAGGTGAGTATTTAATTGACTCCCATGAGCATTAATCACACTTGGTCCCTGAGAGGACTGGTGTCAGTGCTGTACCAGCTTCTTCTGGGTGAGCAGATCCCTCCTACTTCATGCCCCTCAGGCAGTGCCTCAGAGCTGTTTCTCAACAGGAATAGCACATGTGCAACACAGGAACTCAGAACTGCAGAACAACCCAGGCTCCTCCGGAGGTCACCTGGTCCAGGCCCTCTGCTCAAGCAGGAACACCTACGGCTGACAGCTCAGGGCCATGTCCAGGTGGCTTTTGAGTACCACCAAGGATGCAGACCCCACCACTTCTCTAGACAACCTGTGACAGTGTTTGACCATTTTCACAGTATAGAAAGGTTTTCAATTGAAATTCCCTGCATTTCAGTTTGTTCCCACTGCCTCTTGTCCTGTCATTGGGCTCCACTTGAAAGAGTTCAGCTCAATCTAATCTACACCTTCTCATCATGTACTTATTGATAAGATCCTACCTGAGCCTCTGCTTCTGAGAAGCCTCTGAAGCTGCCTAAGTGGGGTACAGATTCAATTTGGTTTTGTTTATCTGACAGTTTTTCATTAACATGGCAAGGTGACTCCAGGCACTTTCCCCCAGAGCCTGTTTACAGGTTTTTAATAACTGTCACAGTGCCAGGCGTTTGCTGCATGGTGAGAAGCTGCTGGGAATAATTAGCACCAAGGGGAAAATGTCAAAGAGATGCAAATGAAACATTTATACAAAATGCTGCTCCCTTTTAAAATTCCAATCAGCAGCAGCACAAAACCTCTGTGATACCCTGTACCCTGAGGTTCACACCACCCACACAGCTATGCCAAGCAAGTTCCCCACTCAGAGTCCCCTTTCTCTTCCCTGCTGGAGTGGTGCCAGCAGTGCTGGGAGCTGGAGAGACCCGTGAGCTCCTCAGTGCCCCGGCACCCTGCACATGGAGCCTCTCTGCCAGCCATGTTATCCACGGATCATGGTCCTGTAGGAAGTTGCTCAATCTGTTTGCATAATTTGCATCACTGCTCAGGCTTTCTCTCCTGCTGCCTCCCTTCCCTGCTTGGTTTTGCCTCCAGCCACCTTGTCGCTGTGCCAAGTTTTCCTGTTCTGCCTATCAATCCCCCAGTGCCAGCCATTAATTATGTGACATGTTCCTCCTGCTGCCCTCATCCCACTAAAAATCAATGGGCAGTTACTGCAATGTGCAGGTTTTGAATTGTTTGCATGTGAAGGAGAGTCAGTTTTCCATCAACCCTTTGGCCCCTTGCAGGGTTCATTACCAGTATCCAGCATAAGGTGTTATTGCATCCTCCCTAGGGATTGTACTGCTTCAGCTGAAAGTGCCAGGGAAGAGATTTCCTCCAAAGCCCGCTTGCTCTGTGCCTTCCCTGATACTCCAGTGTGGAAGTGCCCTCAGCTTTCCACCACAATGTGACCTGCTCTTAAAAGTGCATACTTTGCTGTGTTGCTATTTTGGGGGTCAGATTGAGGCTTCTCCTTCTGGAGCTTCTCTCCCAGTGAAAAGAATAGAGGAAAAGTGTTTGCTGCTGAGGCTGAGCAGAGGGTTTAAAATGTTTGAGGGGTTGGTGCTAGCATCTATCTCCCTAAATGTTTACATGGAATTGCTTCCATGGTGAGAAAAAAATTAATATATTTCTCTGGAGGTGCCCCAGTAGGACTGAAGTGGCAGTTTATATTTTCAAAGCGGGTTTATATCTTCAGGAACAGACATTTAGCTCTGCAGCAGCCCCACCACAGAGTGCAGAGCAATATAACTACTTTTAGTCAACTCTTGGAATCTGACATGTGGGTGGTAACTTGGAAATATAAGGTGCTTAAATTGGTAAGATACAAATACTGTTTTCTGTAATATCCCCAGGCCTCTAAAATATTTTCTTTCCT